TGTGTTTGAGTTGATCAGTTATTCCGAAAGCCTCAGCATGAATCTCCTCTTCCCTGACATCATGAAAGGTGCTTTTGTAGGAGCTGTTGCTCTTCTGACTTGAGCTGGACTTTCCTGCTCTGCTTATGGCATAGCGGGCTGCTCTTATGCTGCTGGTGGGAGCTCCACTTGTTCACAAGATCCCTAATTCTTATTGAAATGCAATGACAGTTACTTGGATTTGTGCTCAATCTGTGTGCCAATTTTTAGACTGTTTTACCACAACTAGCTCCTTTCTGACTCCCATCTGTATTGGTAGAATATTTTGTCGTGGAAGTGTTGGTTCTGTCCTAGTTCCTGTTGTGTGACTGGGTATAACTTCAGGCGTGGTAGCCTCTTTCAATAGGAGCATTTGTTAATTGATCTGCTTTTCTGATGCAGTGTTCCTTTTTTTTTATTGACCTTGAGGGAGTATTTTTGCCTGCTTATACTGCAAATTCATGCCTATCTCTGTTTTCCAGCCACCCACCTTCTGCTAATGGCCCTCAGTTGCACAAAAATGTAGATTGTTGTTATTTTAAAAAAAGCCAGGAAGTACGGGAAGTACATGATGACTGTTCAAGCAGTGGATGCTCTTGCTTTTTTGAGTCAATGCTGAATAATCTTTAGAGATGATGGTATTGCAAATACATCAGAACTACTCAGTTGAGGAGGCCTGATCTTATTTGTTATGGTCCGTGTACTGCTGCATATGGGGGGATGTACAACTATTGATCCCAGCTGTTCCACTGGAGGCAATGGGAGCTTTGAGGAAAGGTTTAGAATGAAAACTATGATTCTAAGCTAGTAGCCAAGCTTTTTGGGTGGCATTTTGAGATGTACGAACCTTGTACATACAGTTTCACTAGAAATTAGTTTTTGAAGTGTGCAATGGCATGTAAGCTTAGCTGCCAGTTGCTATAATTTAGGGTTAGGAGCTCTATCATTGATTCAGTGACTGGTATTTTGGGGGATTTCCTGCTTTTGTCTTGGAGCTGGCAAATGATACTCCATTGCTTTGAAAAGTAACATTTTATAGGTAGGATGACTCTAGACAGTGTTTTAAAACTTTTTTGTCAAAGGGTAATGGAGGCCCACAAAATAAGAACGCCTTTCAAATATATAACTGGCATGATGTAATCTTACTGAGAAAGGAAGGCCCTGCCTATTTCATTGTGCTTCCCCTCAAGATTGTTGGACCCCTTGCTAAACTGGCAGGAAAATACTAACCTGAATTTATAAATGCTAGCATTGATACAGGGAAGGGGACCAAACCATACAGGTGGGTGCAAGGGGACTGGATGAGGAGTAAACTGTCCCTTTTAAGGTACCTGTTGGTATAACAGTACAGATGAGTAAGTCTGTCTCTTATTAACAGGGTAAAGTGAAAGTATGAAATAAAGAGGTTGGCTGGGGCATGGGAACAAGGGAGAAATTAGTGCTTGAATGTGTGGTAATTGAGCAGATAGAACGTGTGGCTTGCTTTATATGGCTTTCTTCTTTGAAAGTAACTTTTCTTCTTTAATGGTCTGTGATTACTGATGCTTTCCTGATGCTTTTGCCC